ACATTATTGGGGCTTCTGTCTGAATCAGTGCTTCCCAAAAAACTTATGTTTTTGTTTTAATCTCAAATGCTTGTTGCTTCTCAGTTTGAAAGCCTTTTTATTTCTAGGTTCACACACCCATAGAAAGAGGTAGACAAATCATAAATGTGCAGTGGGTTTTCACAAAGTGAACGTTGGGACAAACATCACACACATCAAGGAGCATTTCCAGCACCCAGGGAACCCTGTTCAAAACGCCTCCTGCTGCTGACAGATAGGGGACACCCAGAGGAGAATGAGACCAGGACTCCTAACAAGGACAAAAGCAGTCATATTCCTCTATAGAAACAACAAATGAACACCCAAAAGATGGGGGCTGAGGGCAGGGCCCAGGCCTGAGCCACACTAAGCCTTCACTGACAAGACCAGACCTGGGTGATGTCCTAGTCACTTTGATCACAGGTCCTGGTGGGACAAGGTTCTACTGAAGGGACAAGGACAAAGGGGCAGAGAAGTGACGCAGCCGAGGAGTGACCACGTGACAGCCCACAATGCACTGAGCACCAACTGGGCTCAGGCTGTGTCCACGCTCGGTCCTCAGAGCCCCTCCTGTCTGCACCTGCAAAAAACTCAGCACAGCAAACACACCGATTCTGGAAGGTTCTTAGTGATTCCATTTATTTCCTCTCAAAATTTAGGATTTTCTCCTTTAATTAACCCATCAACCTTTCATGGCAAGAACTGAAAAAACAGATTCACATCCAGATTCTTATTTCAAAAGGAAGTAATTAGTTGCCATTCAGAGTAACATGAAGTAAAAGCGGGGATGGAAACAGCCTCTGCTGGAACAGGACAGTGGGTCAGGGAAGAGGCTCAGTCGGTGCAGGGAGGGGGCGTGGAGGGCAGGGGGCGTGCAGTCTCCCACCTCTGCACAGGATGCTGAGAGGAACGCAGACACATTCAGATGCCCTTTGCAGAAAGAGAGGTCAGAGGTTCCTGAAGTCACAAAGTGGGGGTATGAACACATCTTGCATCACTCAGTCTCCCACAAGGCAGCTGTCTCACGCTGTAAAACAAAATCATGAACAAATTCAGTTTAGTGACTGTAAGTGGTGACATTCTCAACAGCCCACCACATGGTCAAAACGTCCCAAAGAATCCGCAGTACCCAGTCCTGTTCCCTCTGCCCCAACCCTTCCCGACTTCAGGCCCTCCAGGGTCTCACCTTTAGAAGCCGTGAGAGACACATCAGAGCCTTGGGCACTGTCACCACCTGGGGTAGAACAAAACAGGATGTGGTCAGAGCTCACAGTAGATGTGGCTAAATGAGGAATGATGGGGGTGGGTGGGCTCCCCCAAGGGCTTCCATCTACACTATCCCAAGGGTCTCAGGGATCACCCCCCTCCACACTCACTTGCAGCCTGAGCATAGCTCCCTCCTTTTCCACCTGTGGGAAGAAAACATCATGTGAGAAGCCAGGAAGGAGGCAGGGCCATGAGGTCCTAAAGGAACCCCGTAGTCCTGGACCCCAGAGAAGTTTCCAGAACTGTAACTACAGACCCACGGCAGGATCAGGAACCTGAGGTAAGTACGTGTGTGGGACTGGACCAACCGCCCTCCTGGAGGTCTGTCCTCAGCAGGGACCTTCTGCTCTGACCTGTGACTATTGAGAATCAGGTCCCCATCACCAGAATCATCAAGGT